AGGGTAGATCTCTTCCATTACCTCTAGACATCCCCTGGCTTTATCCTCTGTCTAAATTGCAGAATCCCATTCTGTCCAACATCTGGGCTAGATTGGCTTTGGGCATCCAAGCTGGTCACCATTTATGTTAACAAGTGATAAATAACATAGTTATTAATTTTTTAATTGATATTTGTGAAAAGAAAATGAACCCAACAATTACCCGTTCTTTGCACACGAAAGGGGGGAGAAAGAGCGAGAGAGAGCGCGCAAGAGCCCCAACTAAGTTAGCTTCCAAATAAACTACCTGACTGCACAGATCCCAAAAATCTGAAAGGGAAAAGTGCACTAGGCTTAATTTCAGACTACCTAATTTTTCACTAAAGTTCTATATACTTCCAAGTAGTTGGACTTTCTGCTTATTTGTTTAAATAACTGGGGAGGGGTTTGGGGTGGGGGAAGAAATCCTTTTAAAAAAAATAATAAACCACTACACTCAACTGCAATGATTCGTACTACCTATTTTGAAAACTACCTATTTAGTAACTCCGCCTACCTATCACCAAAATTGTATTGTATAAATGAGAAGGGGGCAAGAACAGTGTTGGTGGGATCTGATATTGTCAAGCAGAAACTGCAAGGCCTGCTTCGCCTGGTTCGGAGGTTTAGTGCGGAGTACTGATGAATATAATTTAGAGTTTTTAAGACATAATATATTTATTGCAAGGCTGTTATTAAATTAAGTCAAATATGCTGCAATATTAGCTTTCTTCTCAAGTCTTCGCTAGCCCAGAATTTTATGAGATAAATTCTGATTGTATCCATTGTAAAATCTGCTTCATCTTTTCTTTCATATTGTGCTCCTGAAGGCTGATTCAGTGTTTTGTTTGAAATTTGTCCACTAATTGTGCTTTATGCAATTAAAAAAAGTTAAATGAATTTAAACAACCATCACCTGCTCTTTCACCAGTTTCTTCCCTCGCTTAGTACAAAAGGTTGCAACTTTCCTACATTTCAGACAACCTCTGCATTGGAAACGTTGCCTGTTTCTTCTGTCTCAAACTCCATCATAAACTGGAAAATCTGTCCTAAATTGGGTAACTTTGTAGCATGATTACATTAAAAAAAAAAAACCTCTATAAATAAATTCCACCATTAAAGTTTTGGCTAATCTTTATTCATAACTTGTATGTTACAAATGTGTTTTTTTCTGCTCTGTACACTGTGTACCTTGAGGTATTTCATGTTAAAATTAAAAGGGGCAGGGAAGTGCGCGCGCGTGTGTGTGTGTATGTGTGTATATATGTATGAATTATCTTTGAAGTTTGCTTTTGTGTATCACCCAAGTGTTTAATGTTACACAAAAATAAAAAAATGCTTGATGACAATGCATTGTGGTGGTTTTTGTTTTGCAAGCAAAGAATATACATACAATAAAATATAAGACATATGAACAAGTAAATATCCTGAAGAAATAAGAATGGTACCCTCACTACCTTCACTACCTGGAAGAAAACAGCAGCACAAACTCATTTGCAAAGTGATTCACCAAGGTGGAAGAATATTACAGAAGTAGAAAGTTGCTTGGTTCTGTGGGCACAATCCTGATAGATTTCATATGCAGCTTCTTCCATTGGAACCAAGAGTGATAGACAGATCCTGTTTTCTCCTTTGACATCTCAATTGGCTCCATGAATTTGGCTTCAGTTGAGCTAGGATTATGTCCTCCTTCCGCATAACTTTAATTCCAATGTGGGGCTGAAATGCATCTTCCCTGCCTAAATATAAACCCGCATTTTGCATAGGGTACAATTGCCAAAATGAATATTCTCAGATCAGGGATCTGAATATGCTAAATATAAGGGAAGGAGACAGAAGTAACGAAACACAGCTATTCTTCCGTGGTATATCTTCAAATATTTTTGAGATATTGTTCTTATTTTTGTTCTTTCAGTCCGTTATCCACTCCATTAAAAAAAAAAAACCTGAAGCAAAGCGGATAAGGAAGGAGCTAAATGATAAAAATTCGTATGTGGAAAGAGAGCCAACGCCTGACACTTTATTCGCCTCTAAATGTATTTAGCATAATTTCAATGCAAAAAGTGGAGGTTGGGGGGAGATTGCCCAAATGGTGGGTCCTTTAAAAATCTAGGACCGTCTCTCTGGTAAAATGGCGCCTTCCTAAGTCCTGCCTCTTTCTTGGTGATGAGGAAAAGGCCATAAATCCGTTGTTGTTTATGAAAATTTACAACTTTGCAATACAACTTTACGAGTGATTCGGGTTCTCTATTGGTTGTCGGCGGTCATGTGGGTGGTAATCGTGAACATGAACTTTTTTATAATTTCCCTGGCAAGAATAGAGCTGCATTCTTTTGCTCTGCTCTGTCCTGCTTCGGATCTCTCTGCCATTTCAGCCCCACCCCCCCACCCCTTTCATCCACCCACCCGGGTTTTCATATGTCCTTTGTAAGTCAAAAGGGAGTCGAGTGGATGGAGACTGGGTACGGGCGGTCGCTTCGAACGCAGGTCTGGAATGGCATTTTCCAGCTCCTTTGCCGGAAGGTGTGGCATCTTGGATTCAAAGCTGTGGGGTGGCAGATTTTCAACTCGCAACCTGGCTAATTTCCTGCTTCTTCTGGCACCAAAAGGAAGGCCATTCGTCTCCACGGCATGCAAAGCGGCAGCTGTCAAAGTAGCAGGGGCTCCTGCCAGCCAGGACCTACAAGGTGAGAAACGCAGAGGAGAGCGTGAGCAAGCAAGACCCAGTTAGTTACATGAAACAGCCTTGCGCGCTGTCTGAGCCTCCGTAGCTCGAGAGAAGGTCGATTTGCCTAAGAGTGAGAATGAACCAATGCAACCCGGAGCTTCCGGGAGTTTGCCTAGCGCATACAAATCAGCGTCGGGCTCCAAGTGTCATCCTGACACTCTTACTGTTCCATTGGCTGGGTTAAAAGGCTGCCTTTGGAAAGCATGGTGGCTTTCCAGAAACCTCCGCTGAACGGCTTCATTCGTAGATAGGTGGATTTGGAAAACCCAAAAAAGGTGGTGTCTAATCTATGAGGGCTGGTTTGGTCCTTGCAAAGATTTAATTTGCGGTGGAAGCTATTAAGAGGTTGTGTTTATTTTGACTTGCCTGTGAGGAATGGAAATAAATTGGTGGACGGAGGCGGGTCCTCACGTGTTTGGAATTTTAGATGGCGATTAATTCCGGTGATGCCTTTATAGGAAAGACCTGAACGCAATATTATGGTGTTGCTAATGTGATGGCTGAGAGACAGGAACATATGACAGCGTTTTAAGAACCCGAACATTTCTTTTGTTGTTGTTGTTGTTTTGTTTTGTCTTGTCATTAGTGCTGGGGTGCTGGGGTGGTGAGCGGAATTAAATGCTTCAAGCAATCTTTTCGGTCATTGTTTATGGGGGGGGGGGAAATGTAAACGATCTTAACTGGAATAGCTGGGAAGATGTGAGGGTTTGTGCAATATTTTAATAGAGGCAAATTGTGCATGATTCACCCAAATCGATGTGGTTTCTATTTGTACAGAGGAAAATATTTCTGATTGTAGGATTGAAATGTTTCTCTGTTCTTGTGTTTATCCCCGCCGTTGAGGACGATTAGCGGTTTTCTTAAATATTACAAAAATACCGTAGGTTTTCAACCCCCTCCCAATCCATTCTCCGAATTGATAAAGACTTACGTGTATATTACATTGCAGTATCTGCTTGACTGCAGCTGCAGTGAATGTCGGATTATTTATCGGCGAGAGAACATTACTCAGTACTGCCACTCTGTGGCTCTTAAAGGTACTAGGCGCTGAGAGAGTCGGGGGCAGCCACCAGGTACATAAATAAATAATTGAAAGAGAGCCGGCGAATAAATCACGACTGAATGGGTTGCTTATCGTTGGTGGAGCATATCCACACGCGGAGATGTTGTTCTTCTTTCCCAGACGATTTTTGTATTTTAAATGGACTCAGGGAAAGGCGGGAGAACCTCTAAAAAAATATGATTGCGCTAATTACAGCAGGGCGACCTAGAGACGATGACTTTATCCCGAGGGTTACTAATATACTTCCCATCTAAACAATGGCTCGGACGGAGAGATCTGTTTAGATTAGATTTGTTGGTTAAATCTTGCTTTTCCCTCCGTAAACATAAAAATTTGTAAGTGGATTTGTACCTTCACAGAAAAGGAGTTTTTAAACTTAAATAGAGCTACCTCCCCTTTCCCCCACCACCTATGTTCCAACTTTGTTTGACTTATGGCTTGGATTGAATAAAAGGAGGGGTAGCAGGGTAGCGGGAGGCCCTCATTGTTAAAATGGTAGTCACACGTTTTAAATCAATGGAGGTTGTTATTTGAAAGAGTTCTAAAGTCTGATCTGATTTGCTGGGTATTTTTCAAGAGCCCTGCCAAGTTATTTACCTTGCTTCTTCATTAAGAAAGTATCTCAGAGAATGTGTCTGGATTCCTCTGGGAAGGTGCAGACTTTGGCAAAACTTCTGTTTAACAGATGTGTGTCTCCAAATGTCTAGATGGAAGAGTGGGGGGAAGTGTACTCTTAGTACAGTTTCATTTCCTGGACAACGGCCATTTTTTTCTTCTGTAATTTGCTCTAGTTGTTGTTCAGTAATTCGTTCAGATGTTATCCCTTCTATATAGAATTATGCTTGCTGTGGATGTAAGAGTTCAGGAAGAATTCCCTGTTTATTGCATTAAATTTACAAATAATTACATTTTTTTCCTAGCTATTTATATTTTTGTAAAGTTGTACAACTTAGTAATTGATTAATGAAAATGAACCAATCAATAGAACCAATATATCAAGGTATATGTAGATAAATTTACAATTAAACAAATATGTTACTCCGTTTATAGAAATCTTTTGTTCTATGTATGTCGAATATATATATATATATATATATATATATATATATATATATATATATATATTCTCTGTGTCTGTGTCTCTCATTTCTTTCTTTCTTTCTCTCACTTTCTTGTATTGTAAAATAAAAAAATCATTTTTGATACAGTAATAACTATTCTCCATTTTGGGGACTACTTTCTCCAACACTCCAAAATATATATTTATAGATCTTGTTTAGCGAGGGTGAGTGGGGGGCAGGGAGGGAATCCATTGTTGGAAGGATTTCTGAAACTCCCGTTGAGGACCAAAAGAAAGCTGGTCATAAAATGGGGATGATGATGGTGACAGCAGCTATTTTAACTTACTGCTGTTTTAGAGATACCCTAATTGGGGTCAGGAAATTAAAAAAAATAACCAAACTGGCCAAAGGCCTTATGGTTTTAAAGCCAACAAAGTAGCCGTTTGGAAAACAGAAGAACACCTGACAAAGGACAGAAATAATTGGCACAGGGAGATACTTGGCCTTAATCTTATTCATATTTCCTAGGAGGTAAGACTGAGATGATTCTTCAGAAATTGCCAGCCTCCTTGTGAAAGTCCTCCTTTCTTTCCAGGTTTCTAAGTCCCTTAATAGTGTTGTAACTTCAGGCCTAATTATTTTCCCATTGTATTTTGAAATTACTGTCAAGTTTGCAGATTTCAAAAGTGTGTATCTACTGTCTTTTTCTTTTCTTTTCTTTTCTTTTCTTTTCTTTTCTTTTCTTTTCTTTTCTTTCCTTTCCTTTCCTTTCTTTTCTTTCTTTCTCCTAATTTGGTTTTATTGGTCTTCTGTCTCAAGATGGGGTGACTTAATTGCTCCCCACCTTCCTGCGAGATTCATTATAACAACAGACTGAAGTTACAAAGATATCATTTGGGGAGTTAAAAGACTAACAACAGGGGGAAATTTTTATTGGAATAATTTCCTCTCTTCAAAGCAGCAGCTAACATCCTCAGAGAGATTTCCTTTGAATACCCCCACTGACAACAAATAAAGAGCAGCAGCAACAACAATTGTGTCGGAGAATCACCGTTTCCTGTTTGCTTCAGATCTGAGGATTAAATTAACTGAATTATATTGTCTGGATCATCTTGAATAGAAGGGGTTTTGGGGAATTTTTTTTTTTTTTAGCCATTCTCGAGGATGTCGATGCATGCACACACTCTCTCACACACGTATACATACCTTTCATTAGAAACAGGGAAGAGAAATCATGCAACTCCGTTGGATTTCAGTTGCCCATTGGGTTGTGCTGGAAAATGTTCCCACATGCTTTGGGCACCCTCGTTTTATTGCTTTTGACTCGGGCATGAATGGAAACGGTTAACTGAGACCGAATCTCTTTTTCGCCAGTTTGTTTCTAAACAGGCAGATTCTCCCTTTTGGAGACGGTTGTCAAGTCCCCACTTTTAAGCGTTTCTTAGACACCACCTCTATACCACGCGGTTTCTTTGCTTTCGTCTCTGCGGCTGGGCTGGGACAGAGACCATAAGCTCATGGCAAGAGGGTGAATGAACCGGGAAGCGTGGGGGGGGGGGAGGAGAGGGGGAGCTTCTCCTGGATAGACTATGCGGTTTTTGCAAGATAAGTTTTCGGCGGTGCCTCTTTGCTGTAAGCAGTCAGGTACCCGTCGCTGGGAGTCTCTCCCTGGCGTCATTCATTCATTTAGGTGGGAAAACTCCGCTTGACCTAAGGACTGACGACCACCCATTTCCTCCCCGGGGTGGGGGGAAGGTTACCCAAGGGCAATTTCTCCCCGCACCCCTATTCTCCGTGTTGGCACCGAGGAGAGCGCCCGGTGGCCAGTTGCCATCTGCTAGGCTCGGTGGCGTCGGAGGTGTGTGTGTGTGTGTGTGTGTGTGTGTGAGAGAGGGGGGGGGGGGGGGGGGGGTTGTTTGGAACTTTGCTGGCTCGGTAGCGGCGGATCCCAGGGGAGAAGGCCGTCCGCCGCTCGCTCATTGGTCGCCGTGCCATCAGCTGGTGCGATTTGCTGCTGTCGCTTTTGGCGCTCGGCCATCCAGAAACAAACCACTCGCATGACTACTAATAGTTATAGCCAGATGTACTAATACACAACAAATCAAGGTCCGGGATCTGGGGAGCGTCCATGAGTTCCTATTTCGTGAATCCCGCTTTCCCGGGAAGCTTGTCGAATGGACAAGAGTCCTTCCTGGGGCAGATCCCCCTCTATCACCCCGCGGCTGGCTACGAGGCTCTAAGGCACTTCCCAGCTTCTTATGGGGCCGGCAGCCTGCAGGAGAAGCCCTATTCCTCCCCTAGCTTCTTCCAACAGTCCAGCCCCAACACGGTCATCGCCTGCAACCGGGCAGCCTATGATTATGGAGCCTCTTGCTTCTACTCGGACAAGGACCTGGGCGGTGCCTCATCACCCTCCGGCAATGGCAAACCAAGGGCCAGCAACCCCGGGGACTACTTGTCCTGTTTTGCCTCTGACCAGCAGTACAAGCCCGAAAACGGGGCAGCCAAAATCCTAAACGAAGAAAACAGCGACCGGAAGTACACCAGCCCTGTTTACCCTTGGATGCAAAGGATGAATTCGTGTGCTGGTAAGTCATAAAAGGTAACCATAAATAGGGAGGTGGGCTGCAGAAGTGGTAGTTGAGGGGAGCTTCCATCTCTCTTTCTTTCCTGGGAAGAAAGGTTTTTTGGGTATTTTTTTTCAAATGGGCCATCTTCAGACTGTCTAGGATGGGTAGAGGAGGTTCAAAGCCCAGGGATTTCCTGAGACTCTTTTTCAAGTTCTCTTTCAACCTGACAGGTGGAGGACTATCTTGACAAGGAATGCCTTTTGAAGGCTGAGTCAGCACATGAAGCCTGCCATTGCAGTGTCACATACCTGGAAACAAATCTTAAGGAAATAACTATTAACACTCTTCAAAAAAATCAATATTTTCTTAAGAACTGGGTGGCTGCTGTTGCTAAACTGCTCACCATCATCTTCATCATCATTACCAGAGAAGCTTCTCTGTCTATCAGAGCCAAAGAGTGATACAAGGGTAGAGTTCTGACTGCTTCATATATTTTGTGAGAGTTCTCTTCCCCCTCCCTTCACCCACTCATTAGTATATAAGAATGAGCTATTGAATGCACGTTCCTGGTAATATCTACGCGCGCACACAAATCATCTAATGGGGTGGAGGGGGTGGGAAGAAAGAAAACTTGATCAATGGCCACCACCACCACCATTTCAATGTATCAGAATGTCATTCTTTGTTCTTCTACCAGAGGAATTAGAAAGTCTAAGGATATTTTAACAGTGAAACATTAAAATCAAAAGCTTTTGGAGAGCTTCAGTCTATTCTCATTAAAGCATTAATGACCTTCCTTTAAAGCAGCATACTATAATTTAATTTACCTCTATACTCTATTTCTATTCTACTTTCTTTAAAAGAACCACTTCCTTCAAAATAGATTCTATTAAATTTATTGGGGCTTGCAATCTATTTAGGTGCTGGTGTCAGTTGACTGAACTTAACAGGAGACTGTTAAGACAAGACAAGCATCTTCAAATTCCACATGTTTAAAATGGGAAAGAATTAACAAGTAGGATTGCTAATTCCTTCCTTTGGAAATCAGTGTGACTGAAAAATATTCCAGTTTGGTTACACCAAGTCAAAATCCTCTTGCAAATATGGACATAAAGCATAACATAAAAGCAACTCTCCTATTATACCAGGGCCTATTCATATATTATCCAAGGGGAATGGCCACGTTGAAAACAATCTCCCTTCCTGTTATTAAAAAGGAATGCTTCTGCTCGCCCCCAAATCCCAAAATTTAAATAAAATTAAAAATTAAAAGATAACTTCAAAATACCTGACCCTGTGAGCAGCAGAACATGATCTTGTCCCCTAAATTAGAAAGCATGCTTAAACAAGGAGCATATAGCTCCAAGGATTTCCCGATTTCTTTGTTAACCGAAAGGCGGGCGCGCCTGCTTATTCGCGGTTATATATGTTTGCTTCCCTAGGTACAGTGTATGGAACGCATGGGAGACGGGGCAGGCAAACCTACACCAGGTTCCAAACGCTAGAGTTAGAAAAAGAATTCCATTATAACAGATATTTAACCAGAAGGCGTCGGATTGAGATTGCAAATGCTCTTTGCCTTACTGAACGACAGATTAAAATCTGGTTTCAAAACAGGCGGATGAAATGGAAAAAGGAAAGCAAATTGATCAATTCCACCCAGCCTGGTGAAGAAGAAACAGAGGAAAAATCAGGGGAGTAAAATTATGCTTAAGAGAATAAACCATCTATTAGTAGCTTTTTCCTTCATCAACATGCCTCCCAGTTCACACACAAATATATACACACACAGAGCCCTACAATTTATTGGGTTATTATTCTTTTGTTGTTGTTGTTATGCAGATATTTCCAAAGGCTTAATTAAAATACATCTATATATATTTTCAATAAACTGTGAATTTCTGTATCAGTAGAATTCTTGACAGTAGAAAAGCTTAGTAATAGCCAGCTTTCCGCTCTGTAGATTGAGGTGCTTAAATGATTTTTTTTGACATGAGCAATGCCTTAATTTCCTTTTTTATTTTTAAATAAAAATTTTAAGTGTTTGTATAAAATTACCATTTGATGCAGCTTCTCCGCATTAAAAAGGGTCAGACCTGGTTCCAGAGTGGGATTCTAGAAGTATAGGGAGCTTATTCTGCATATTTTTTCTGCTAACTCACTTAAATAAATAGTTGCGCTTTGTTCTACCCTTTTTCATCTCAGACCTGAACCATTTGTTTGGTAATAATATTGATTTCTTTGGGACTTTATTTGAATGATGTTGCACATGGCATCCTCATGTGGTTTAAAGAAAAAAAGAAGAGGAAATGTTAACATGTATGCATAATTCCCAATACATAATTAGGATTTTCAAAAGAGATAATGGGTGGGATGGGAAATATAATTCAAAACCTTGCTGATTATCTGCTGTATATTTTAATTTTTAAAAAAAGTATAGGAGTATAGCTTTTTTAAAAAAATAATTAGCCTTTCTAAAGGGGTAAAAATACAGTAAACTGAGTGGAAAAAAGGAGAGCTAGACTTTTGTTGATGGGCAGATTACTAGGATCCATGTGATTATTTAATATCATTAATCATCAAGTATTTTTAATTCTTCTTCTATTGACCTAGTTTAAAATTTCTTTATCCTGGTGGTGTGGATGTGTTCTTTTCCCATTTTAAAATATTTTTAAAAAAGCAATATTTAGGGAAGACACCCCAAATTTAAATAAGAATACAGCTATTTCATACTCTTGGTGTGTTAGAAAGTGCAGGTGAAGGCTTTCTTTAGTAGTAGCATGAAATTATATTATAGTGCATTGGTGCCACCATGTACATATGGAAGCATGCATATTATATTTCAATAATGTGAAAAGCATAGCACTTGGACTATAAATCTGACTCTTAGTAATAATAATAAAAAGGAGTACCTAACTAAACAAAACCACTACACTTATATTTATGAGGTGGAGAAAATTTGCAAGCCCTTAAAATGTTCCTGAATTTTCTCTTTCTTTGTGTCTCTTAAAAGCCCATGAAAGAATTCTATTTAAAAAAAATACTGCAGGACATTTATATTGAATACAAATTTAAAATTGGCACTGACTTTAAAAATATCCCAATCCTTCCTTCCTCTTGAAGTTGCTGCTCAGTTACTATTATTACAGAGATTCATTATTTCTTATATGTTCTGAATCATTTTTTAAAATTGTATGTGTATATATGTGTGCGTGTATACATACATACATACATACATATATACATATATGCATATTTCCCAAAACCCAATTTTTGTTATTTTTTTAAACCTAAAACCCACAGTCCCTTACAATTGGTTTTACTAATGGTACTCTGAGAGAGATGTCATAATTTTGCTATAATGGGCTGTAACCCCAATTCGACCTCAGTCTTGCAGCAGCTCCGGGCTGAAGAAAGTGAAAATCTAGCAAGTCTCCAGAGGGTGGCGCACGAGGCCGACTGACAGTCAGGAGCTGGCAGCGGGCTCGCGCTCCAGGCGCGCGCCCCAACCCTCTAGCATCCACCCAACTCCCCCATTTAGTACGCGAGTTTACCTCTAGAGGTCATCAGGCAGGATTTACGACTGGACAACAAAAGCACGTGATATAAAGTCGTACCCCATATTTGGGTGCCTACGTAGGAGGGAACCAAGTACTTGTCCCAGTCATTTCCATAATTCATCATAAATTGTGCAAGGGTGCTATAGACGCACCAAAAAACGAAGCAAAGAGCCACAAATCAAGGCCCCTCGATTAAAAAAAAAAAGCCAACAACAACAACAACAAAAAAAACCCTAACAAGCCCCAACAACAACAACAAATGAGCTCCTATTTTGTAAACTCATTTTGCGGTCGCTACCCAAATGGCCCGGAGTATCCGTTACATAATTATGGAGATCCGAGTGCCGTGAGCGAGCAATTCAGGGAATCGGCCAGCATGCATTCCGGCAGGTACGGCGGCTACAGCTACAATGGTATGGACCTCAGCGTCGCCCGCTCTGCTTCCAGCCACTTTGCGCCAGGGGGGGCCACAGAGAGGGCTCGCGGCGGCAGTTACCCCTCCAGCGCCAACACCAACGCCAGCGCCGCCACCCCCGACGCCAGGTACGCCAACCGGGCGGCGGCCGCTCACTCGCCTCCGCCTGACTCGCTGCCTTGCGCCGCCGTGGCCGCCTCGCCTGTCAGCGGCGACGCTCATCACGGTGGGGGAAAAACCTCCACCGTTAACTCGACCACCAGCACTTCGTCCACGTCTAGCGGCACCGCCAGCGCCGGCGGCAGCGGCAGCGCCAGCAGCAACGGCAGTGGCAGCACCAGCACCAGCCACCTGGGCAGAGAAGGGCTTAGCACGTCGCCGGTCGCCCAGGAGGATCCTCCCGCCAACAACGAGCAGGCGACCTCTCAGCAGAACGACCAAAACACAGCTCAACAGGCTCCCCAGCCCCAGATCTACCCCTGGATGAGAAAACTTCACATAAGCCATGGTAAAAGCATGCCCGGTTTTCTTTATATGTAACCTAATACAGCAGGTCTAGAGGCAGAGGGGGAGAGGGGAGAGGGGCCCGGGAACCGAGGGACACAAGGTTGGCCAAAAAGAAGCCGGGGACAAGAAAGTTCCTTCTCTTTCCACGTTTCTCTCTCGCCCGGGCGCCACATGTTTGTCGGACTAGCTGCCAGTTCAGGTGGGTTTCTCTCTTGAGGAAGCCACAAACTCTTCCCACCCTCATCCCCTTTGGAAAGGACAGCGTAGCTGAAGGCCAGTGGAGGACGAAAATCGGGGTAATGTAAGGCAATCTCTCCTAAGGACTCTTCCCCAGGTCTCCAGGACTTGGCGCTTGAATGGAAATGGTGGGAGTGAGCGAGCGAACCAGCTTGAATAGTGCGTGTCAACTTCGGTAATTTATGGCGAAGATTGTCCAGTGAAAACACCGTTACTAATTATATCCAAAAAGAAGTTGAGGAAATAGTGTGTGGGTCTTGTGGGTGTTGGGGGGGGGGGAAGGCAGGAGGGTGAGATTTCTCTGGGAGAAAAGTAGGGGAAAGTTAGGAGAGCCTAGAGGGAAGGGTTTCAGGGAAGCTAGTTCTGCACTCCTTCAGCCTCGGCATGGAAATAATTTCTCCTCCAGCCAGAGGACTTGACTGACAAAAAACAAGTGGGTTTCAAATTCGAAGTGGACTGGGTCTGGGACCAGGCTGAGGGGGCTTTTAGTTTTTCTTTTATCTGATAAGCAGATAATCGGGAAATAAGTTCTTTAAAAAACTTTACGCACAAATAGAGACCCGGCTGAAGAACAGATGCAGGCGAACTGCGTGGTCTCCAGCTTCCGGGCTGGAATTGAATTGATCAGCCCTTCATTAGGAGAGTCAAAGGGGAAGTTGTTTAAACTTCACCAGGCTTGAATTACTTGAGGAAAGGGTTGTGGGGGAGGACAGAGAGAGAGGGAGAGAGAAAACTGAGGAGGAGGAGAGAAGGAGGAACTTGTTGAGCCTTTTCCTCAAATCAACATACTAACAAGAAAAAGAAATCTAAGGGAGAGAAAAACGGACAGCAAGGAGCCAAAGTGAAGAGGGAGGGTATGTCCCTTTTGCCAAAGTCTAAACCGGTTCCCTTATTATTTTCTTTTCCCCTGTTGCAGACAACATAGGGGGGCCCGAAGGGAAAAGGGCTCGGACTGCTTACACCCGCTACCAGACCTTGGAGCTGGAGAAAGAGTTTCACTTCAATAGGTACCTGACCCGCAGGAGGAGGATTGAAATAGCACATGCTCTTTGCCTCTCAGAGAGACAAATCAAGATCTGGTTCCAAAACAGGCGCATGAAATGGAAAAAGGATAACAAGCTGAAGAGCATGAGCATGGCAGCTGCAGGAGGAGCCTTTCGCCCTTAAGAGATATGCCAGCCCTGCTTCTCCCCCATCCCCCAGCCCCTGTCCCAGAGAGGGAAAAACAATAAAAGTACAAAAACACCACAACAATTCAACAGTATTATATAAATGCTGACCCTGCGTAGGCGCGTCAGTAATTTCTCTTTGCTTAACTTCCCTAGAAGGGCGAATCAACCCTCTGCTGATGTATCTTAATAATCATGAGCCTGTTTAATTGAGCCTCCCTAGTGCGCGGCGTGTTACAGTAGATCGGCTTCCCTGTGCATTTCTTTGTCTTTAATAGCTTTGTCTTTTTTTTTTAATGTAGATGTTTTAACTTATTTATATGAAGCAAGTGGCGTTACTTGAAGTAACTGTAAAAACAGGAAAAAAATAGTCCTACGCAAACACTAAGAAAAGGAAAGGAGGCTTCCCTTCCTTACCTTCCTCCCTCCCTCCCTCCCTCCCGCACCCCACACTCAGTCTGGTTTAAACCCAGTGTTTTTCTCTGTGTTGTTGCCCTCGCTGTGCTTAACCATGCATGTGTGTTTGAACGTGTCAGTGTATGTATAACTCCAAGCTGTGACCAAGATTTCCAATCAGAAAAAAATACTACCTAATTCCTGTGTCATTAATGGCTGTTGTAGAGGTGAAATAATGAAAAACAAGCTGAACTTGTCCAAACGTGTAGTGAATAGTGAATCTGTGACGAAAACTGTGATTCCAGACAGTATGTCCTTGCTGTGCCTTTGTATATGACTTTTTGCACGAACTCTTAAAAATGGCTTTTATTAAGCGCAGCTTCGGAAAAGTATAGGGGTTTGGGGGGGGGCTGTTGTTTTTGTTTTGTTTGTGGACACAGTTACAAATAGAGTCAAAGTTTGAACAAAAAATGTGATCTTTTTTTAAAAAAAGAAATGTGGATTTTTTTTTTCAACTGACTGGAAAAATAAACTTTCTTTTGTAAGGGATCTTCTCCCCTTTTTCTTTCTATTCTGTCTTTTGCCTTTTGAGGGGGAGCTGGTCTGTACCCTACAGAGACTCATATATTGCTCCACATTTAGTCTGGAGACTAAAGTTGGAGACGAAACTGAGCCCAATAGCCCCTGTAAACTGAGCAAAGATTGCTTTCTGGGTTGAATGTTGTATAAGAAACACAGAAGTGTTTGTCATTTTTTGGGGGGAAGAAAGATACTACACTGTTAACTCTTTCTCCTAAGCAAGCAAGCAAGCAAGCAAGCAAACAAACAAACAAAGAAACAAACATATAAACAAGCATTTGCTTTTCTCAACTTCATTTCTAAGAACTTTAGCTTTCTAGAGGGAACTAATGAAAACTAACGGGTGGGCAGTTATAGATATCTTCCAGAGACTCTTATACAAAATCTACCATGAATTACACTTCATGTGCAATTTTAACAGATATTGGGGAAAGACTGTCTTAACTCAACTCAAATAAATATGTATTTCTTTGTTTAGCTTTGCTACAATTAATTTTGCTAGAAATGTAACACTACTTACCCAACCCAGAGCTTGAATGGTTAATGCTTCTGAATTCCTAAGAGTAACTAAAGATCTGTAGATTTACAGGCGAAGTATATTGGTATCTTCCCTTAAAAGTTATAAAGCAGTAAACTTTATAAGCCCAAGTTCCAGCTATATGACATTTGGATACCAAATGAATAGGGTTTTGTCTATGAATTAGATCGTAAAATCATCCATAGTACAGACAGATAGGCTCACTGGCTATAAAAAGTCACGTGGTACCATTAAAGTAAGTTTTATGGTTCTGGGGAGTTGTCATCCAACATTATATACCACATAACATATAATCACACTGACGCTGGACTTCATTTGACTCTCTTACAGGCTACATGTGCCTCCTGGTCATTCAAATTGTCAGGGTTTAGGTACAGAAGTATCTCTCCCCAAGTTCTCAAATACTCAGTGAAAAAAAGCGCTTAAGGTAAGTTATGTGCGCAAGTTGCTTAAGTTTGTTTTTGCAGTAGAGAACTCAGCTATACTTTTGCCTTACTCCTTGTTTTTGGACCTCACAGTATTTTGAAATAACTCCAATAATCTCTTCAAGGTGCTACTTTAAAGACAGGGTGATTTTTCCAATCTGCCCCAAATCCTATATAATTTGAACTTTTCTGGAGTTGAGTTAATACATATAAGAACAACAAATTTTATTGTCATCTTAATCAAACATTCTCGAAGCAAGAAAAGCAAAATAAGAGTCTTTGGCAGAGATGGATTTTGAGGCCTAACTTTATGTTGGCTAAAGCAAATGATAATGACTTCCTTTGCTCCATGAAGGGTCTTTGTTTGTTTGTTTCTATAAATTGTATTTATGGGAAGAAGAGTCCTCAAGCCAATTTAAAAAGAAAGAATGGGGGGAGGAGAATGGTTTTGGCTATAAACTTGTTGGAAGGATCAACAACCCCATTGTTATTGGCATGTCTGGAATATTTTCATCTAGATGAAATATTTACATATAACAATAAAGGTGTTTTAGTTGATTTTAAATACTGGATTCTTTGGGTCTTCTCTGCCTTCCAGAATTAATTACACTTGCACCTTGTATGCTGTACACAAGTTGTTGCATTTTCTGTGATCTTAATATTCGTATACCATATATACAGCACATGTTGCATATTGCCCACTCCAACCGTGGATTCTTTTTATACCTTCCTCTGCTTCTCCTGTTCTTCCTTCCAATGTGATGAAATTGATCATAACTTTAGATTCGGCATACCTTTTATATCCCTGCAAATTACTAAAGATTGTCTCTAAGTTTATAGGACATAATCAACAAGCCCATTTATGTAGCTAGCTACCTTTCTCTTTTCTCTCTGTTTTCTTTCTTTATTTTATTGGCTGGCAATTGTTGGGGTAGGCCCCCAGCTGCCTGTTTATTTCAACATCCTTTTTTTATTTAAGCAGACACTTCTCACTAGAGTGTGATTGCGCAGCAATAAAGTTTATGGCCGGATTTAGATCTAAGTCTTTGAATTTCTAGGGTTGAAAGAAAGCATGAAAGAACATTGGCTTTTTTTAAACTTTCCCTTGCCTGCCTGCCTGCCTTCTGAAGCATCATATAATCAGAACCTAAAAATTCTTAATCCTAGAAATTCAGGAAAGCAACTGCTGGGGACACAGTAGCAATTTTATATACAAAATAAAATGAATGATTTTGCAAGTGAACAAGGATTTAGTGGATTTAAAGAGAAGGAGCTAGAAGATATCTCACATTATGAATCAGGGGGTTTAAGCCTAAGAATTACCTGAGGTAATTCACAAATTCCCTTCCTAAACTCTTGCTAATAATAATTCAGCTGTTGGTCAATGTATATGTCACACTAGACTAATAGAGTTTCTTTCAATTAAATGTCAAATGAGGCTGTACTTCTCTATATCGTAATTTCTTTCTGCACATTATACAGAATTAAAAGCAGAATTGCATCAGTTTTAAAATCTCAGTGGTATCTGGCAATATAATTGAATCTTACCCCATTCTGGTTGCTATTTTGAAAGAGACAGATTTTGTGGAGGTATTAATAAATATTTGAAGATCTGAAAACTTCTATCATTTTTAAGTTGACTAATTATGAATATAGGCATTCAGAGTCATTTACATTGTATGTACATGTATGTGATCTCTCTTCACACTTATATGAAGTAGAATTAATTGCATAAAATTGTTATTTGTCCCCTCTCAACTCGGTTTTATGCAGTGATTTCTGCCTGCCATAGTTACCGTAGTTAATATGTGCTGAATTTTCAACAATATTTAGCAAGATTTAGAATGGGGAAAAAACATTATTTTACCTTTGTGCCCTGCTTGTTTCTTAAGTAAAATTAAAAGAGGAAAGCCATACAAATTTAATTTAAATATATATAAAATGCAAGTCCCCAATCTCACTTTCAGAAAAAGATAGCTTTTCAGTTGAACAGCATTGCTCTCTGCAGGGTTACTGATGGATTCCTACACATTCAAAAGCAAAGGTCCTACATGCCAAAGGCAGTAGACTCCACATAAAATACTATTCAAGCCATAATGCATTATTTATTTCAGCTTAAATGTGCTGTGTTAAAGTTTTGCTGAACTTCCCTGTTTTAAATACAGGGGAGAAATGCTGCTTAAGCCAGCTGGGGACAGGGGAGAGTAGCCCGATTCTTTCGCATTGGGTTTCTTTTCTTATTCCTATGTTTACTCCCACACATGAGGAAGGAAATCCTTCTACAGTGAGAACTTAAAAACCAAAAGTGATAGTCATCCTTAAGACTATTTACAATTAGGGAACATAATTCCGTGACTTAGAAGCTAAATGTTGTTCAAGTTCTTTCTTGTTAATGCCGCTTTTTCCATATCTAGTTATCTCCTGAACTAACCACCACTCAGCCGGTGCTTAGTGGAAAGATGGCTGAATGAACAGATTGATTTCACAGACAGAACAGGGAAAGACATACAGTTCTATCAAAGTTCTCTACAAATAACTGACTCTCTGCACTTCTACTTAAAAGTGCATACTCCTGACTTCAATGATATCTGTTTCCATGTTATTGTGCAAACTAGCCTGCAGATCACAGAAAACAAAATTAAATTATAGTAGCCACCTAACTACAAGGGGAGGATCGCAACATGTACAGGAGCAGAAAAGATTTTCCTCACAAAATGGTGATTTTATTTTAGTCTATCCGTCATTTCATACCAGAGCAGCAAGTTGAATAAACAAGCCAAAATGCACCCATCTGTTCAAAACACATATTACTCCAAAATAAAACACTGTAAACCAAATTTTTAAAATTAAAAAGTGTATTTGCATAAATGATGATAATGCCATTGCTATTTTATTTTTTAGGGTAAGAATAATACTTTATTTTCCTTCACCTTATTAGAAGCTCTTTATGGCTATTAGAAAGTTCAATTTTATCAGCTCAAGTCAGTGTTTTTTACTTTAGCAAGGTAACTATGGCGCTTCCCTCTGCTGAAAGCACAAAGATGACTTTTGAAATTCACATGACATGGGATCAGCATGCACCTTCTGTTCAAAGCCTTGTGGAAAAATTTTTAGCTCCATTATGCAAGTGAAAGAAATACTGCTGATATTTTCTACTGTTTCTATTGAACAGTTTAATAATGAGATTAGCAATTAGAGTTCCTGCATCAGATCTTATTTGTCTACCTCCTTACTTCTAACTTCCCTTCCCCTTGAAGAACAAGACTGTTTTTTGGGATAAATTCAGCTTTGCAGTTTTCTATTAATTCTGACCATACATATTGTAGACCTTTTTGGATTCTGTAAAATCCAAGTAGTTTATGTTTCAATATTTCTTACAAGCAGGTTTTCTCTGGGAGAAAAGAACTACATCTTTCTTGCTTAGACAGATGCAGTCAATGCAATATAATTACAAAGAAAAGTATATCATACTGTGTTTTTGCAAAAGTGTGTCTCTTCAGAATCCCTGGAATCTGCTCCTCTCATCCTGCTCCCGATCTTCTACAATGGCTTTTCAATAATAATATTTGTTATGAAGGTTATTGGGTAATTATTGCAGTTTTGTGAAATAGTCCTTGCTCGAGGTGAAGTCTGTCTCTGAATAATAAATGGCAGCTCTTGCAGTTCATTGCCAGGTTAAGTAAATGCAGAAAGGAAGATAAATCTGCACACTCTGAGACTCGCCAGCAGAGCTCGCTTTAGACCAAGTTCATCGTCAGTTTGCTTTTCCTTGGGCAAGGCTTCAGAAATCCACTGGATCAGTTCTTCAGTATGTTGTTTTTGTTATCATTGCTATTAAAAAGACTTGATAAAATGGTCAACAGCTTAATATTATACACTGGGCAAGTCTATTTCGGAGCCTGGAATTTACCCACCTATCACAGAGGCTACCAGCCCATTCAGTTTAATCTGCTTTTGTCAGCAGTGGCGAAATGTCTTTGGAAAGTGATTTTAGGTTTTGCTTACAATTATATACTTTTTTTAAGGACCTCTCCTTTTTTTCCTTCTTTCTTTTTAAGAACATCACATCCCTCTAGATCCTTAATGGGAAAAGGAAGGCTGAGGAGCTTAATCCTTCTTTAAGGAGATAGAAGCTGCATTGCTTTTGTATATCTTTGTGATTAGGGCGGAACTACTCCAGGTCAAAAAGTTGAGGGTCAAAAGTTTACATCTTGCACTGCTCTTAGTCATGAGCAGCCTAGACAGAGTTTGATGTCAATGTTATAGCCAAGATCTTGACTATCAACACAAAAGATAAAACAGCTTTGAGTTAAGTGCGGATTGCAGTATGGACTCCAGGTGAACTCTGGTGGTTGGTCGAATGACCTCAATTACCTAGGGAAGGATAGAAAATTCCTCTTTTCAGAGAAGAATACACATTGTATTTCATCTTGAATTATCAAGCATAGACTTTCCCTGAATCAGGTGAACATGATGCTAAGACACACATAGCTCCATTCTTCTGCAGAAATGCATGTGAGCTGCAAAAACCGATATAAATATCGTTCTGAATGCTGTAGAAATAAATAATAACCAATTCATTCAGGAGAATTTCCATTTATTTTAATCATCCAGAATTGCACCTTTCATGAAGAGAACTACAGTCTATAACAATTCCTTTTATCCTTTGAATACTTGTGCTTTGATTACAGCTTTTCCTCCAGAAATTTTGAGTTACCATTGGTAAAATTGTCGAAATGCATTTAGAGGATGTCACAATAGAAAAAGTTGCTTTTTCTATTTTCATCAGTTGTCTTTTTAAATTGTCTTGCTCCCTTTTGGAGCAAAAAGAATGATGCATATAAATGTGTAAAAATGGTTTAGCAGTGTATAGATTGCAATGCACTTTCTATGTTTTAGTACATAGCAAACTGCACACAACTTACTCAGTTCAGTTATAAGTGGGTTTTAAAGTAATATTTGGATTTTGGGGGTGAAACATCTAGAATAATATGTGAAGTTTGCTCTTGAAGCAGCAAATTTATAATTCTATTTTTAGTAAGAAAATATATGTGCATTACTTTATACCTGCATGTAATGTGTACATATAATCTGCATATTTTCCTTTGGTGAAACACTTTTATTTAGTATTATATTTAGAGAATAATTTCCTTCTTCTTCCAAGAAGCAGAAAAGGATGGTCGGAAAGGTTTATTTAATCTGCTAAAATGGGGTTGTTGTCGTTTTTAACACAGCCTCAGTTTGTTGATTTCAGATTTTTGCAAAAGATTTTCTATGTTATATATGTTGCCACAAATAGATGAGTAACCACAGGAATATAGAACACTTTCTTGCAAGACTGAGCAAAGTCCTATCTACACATATTGACTGAGGAGCGGCTTTTTTGAATTCAGTGCAGCTTCTGAGCAAAGGAGCAGAGCTGAACTTTATATTGTGGTTTGGTTTGGAACTGGAAACAGTTATTCTGTATAAATGCAGAAAGATAGAAAACTTTCTAGAAGAAGAAAATAGTTTTTAACAAAATATATCCATGTTTCCACTATACAAATGCAGTAGAAAGTTTAA